CCTGTCCCACGTACAGGAAGAAACCCACCGATCAGTCACTGGAAGACTGGTGTATTCTGACGTGGAGAGATGTCCACCAGGTACTGAGTGAAAAAATCTGACATATAACAGGATATTTGACAAACATACATAATAGGATCTCTTTTTATAAGCAAAACTACATGAGCATGCGTGCAGAGAGGCGTGCTGGGAAACGGCGACACGCCGAACTTCGGCGATCTCTTCCCGGAGTGGGACAGGCGGGAAGGAAGACGGAGGGAGCTGCGGGTTTTACTTACCCTCCTAAGCTGTCTGTGCACGCAGCCCTTCTGCAACTACACAGAGCGAGACTGCTGCCTAGAGCCGGGAGGACTAGCAGGGAACGAGGGAGCGGGACTAACCGCTGATGAGTACAGAGTTTCTTTTCGCGGCGATGGAAACATTTTAAAATTGATTGTGGCAAGGGTTGCACAACTTCGTGAATATACTAAGAACCACCGAGTTGTATGCTTTTTGAGGTTGAATTGTATGGTAGGTGAAGTATGTCTCAGTAAAGAAATAAAAAGAACTAGTGAGGGAAAGGGGAGCCTAGGAGAAGAAAGGGACACAGTGCGCCAACCCCTGGCAGCCCACTCAGTGGATAAACCTTACAGCAATGTCGGGAGAAGGGGTCCTCGGTCCGCAGTGACCAAATCCAGCAAGACTGCCCCAGAGACTGGCCAATGGCAGGTTTCCTGCCAAGGGTACGGCCCCACACCCCCATGCCCCCACTCTGTCCACACACACCCCCCCTCCTTCCCCTCTTCCATCTTGGTTTTATGGGGCTCAGACCAAACGCAAAGAAGCCCTCAGACAGCTCAGAACCCATACACGCCCAATGCGTCCACTCTCTTAGTCCTGCCCTCTGGACTGGGGGAAGGGCTGGGCTGGCCTACCCCAGCCATCTGTCCAAGCTCTGGTTTCTTCTGCCTGTCATATGGGCCCCCACGCCCCTGCCCCAGACAACCCACATCCATCTCACGTTTGCCAACGCAGGAGGGACACAGTAAGCAAGGCTTCTGGAGACCAGTCCGTGCACAGATTCTCTAACCCACGCTGACCCCAAGACGGCTGAAACTCAGAGAAACGGGCACTACCCCCAGCTGCTACAGCCCCCTCCGAACTCCAAACACGAGCCACCCACCTTGCCCACCACAGACCCCAAGGATGGATCTGGAGGGCAATTTAAATAACAGTAGCAGGGCCAGCAGGCAACACAGTGAAGGTGCTGGACCCCCACATGGCCAACCGTGGTTCGAGTCCTAGACCTGGCAGCTTGAAAATCATGCGGGGCACATGTGGAAGCAGCCCAAACTCCCTAGAGGAGACTGGAGAAGGGATTGCTGTGTGGCCATCCCCCCTGGGGGGTTGATGCTCACTTTCTCTCGCTCTGTCACACGCCCTGTGAGCCCTGTGACAAAAAGCCTTTTAAAAAATAAAAATAGTAACAATTGTTGGCTGGGCATTTCCTGTGCCCCAAGCATTGATTGGGCTGCGCTTCACCTGCTTTACTGCATTGAATTCTCCCAACAGTGCCTAGCAGGCAGGTACTATGATCTTTCCCATTTTACAGGTACGAAAACAGAGATGCTGGCCTAAGGTGCTGTGTAGTCCGTGTTGGGACCTAGAGCTAACTTAAGCCTGGAGGTTTGAGGGGAAAACTGGGGATGGAGGTGGCCAGACAGTGGCACAGCCTTAAAATGCTAAGCTCTGCAAGACTGGCCCACACAGGAAGGTTCCAGGTTCACATCACGAGACCTCCCGGAACAGGTAGAGGGACCGCTGCATGCCTGCCACCCAGGCTGGCTAAAGCAGAGGGCTGAACTGCGGGGATTAAGACCCTATTGGGGGACCAGCAGTTAGCGTACTGGCTATGTCACTGGACTCCCATGTAGTCGACTACGATTCGAGTCCCGGACCCAGTGGCTTAAACTCATGCTGGGCACATGTGCATGCGTGCCCAAGATTCCGAGAGGAGAATGGAGGAGAAGGGATTGCAGCGTGGCCATCCCCCCTGGGGGGTGATTTCTCGCTTTCTGTCCCTATGTCTCTCTCTGTCTGGCGAGCGCACGCGCCCTATAGCAAAAAAAAAAACTCTCAAAAAAAAAAAAAATGTGGCGAGCCAGCAGGTGGCATGGAGGTTAAGACGTTGGATCCCACGTAACTGACTGCAAGGTTTGAATTCTGGACCTGGTGGCTTGAAAAATCACACCAGGTATGTGTGTGTGGGCACGCGTGCATGCGTACCCAAAATCCCAAGAGGAGACTGAAGGAAAAGGGACTGGGGTGTGACCAGCCTCCAGGGAGATGGGGATGATTTCTCACTTTCCATCTCTCTCCCTATCTCTCCGGCACCCTATAGCAAAAAAACTAAAACAAAACCAAATATATATATATATATAGAGAGAGAGAGAGAGAGGTTCCTCCGAGCTGAGAGACTTCTGCCCTGGGGGCACACTCATTTTGGTTCATGGCTAAGGAAACTGAGACAGGGGAAAGTAAGTGGCCTGAGGTTAAATATCTCCTGGCCCTGGCTCCTTCCTCCAAACAAGCTTCCTTATTGAAGCAGAAGGAAACCTTCCTGCCACCAGGGGCTGCTGGTGTGGGGACAAGCCCCTGCCTGCCAGCGACTTTGAAATCACAGGATGAAAGGCAGCACAGCGCCGTGGGCAGGAGCGCGCCTGACCTTTGCCAGGACTTGCAGACTGGCATTCACCTGCTCACCTGCTCCAGGCCAGCACAAAGCTGCAAGCCAAGCCGCAGAACCCTGACAGGCCCGGGAGCCCAGAGGCTGTGGGAAGGGACGTTCGGAAGCTGACATTTCTACAGGGGTGGCCCCAGGTAGTGAGGGCTCTGGAATTTTAATTGTCTGCTGTGACAGTGCCCACTGCTCCCTGGGTGGGGTGAGGGTGCATGGATCACTGGAGGTGGCACAGGCACGCCCTCCTTCCCCAAGCAGCTCAGTCTTGCGGAAGGGCCTCCCTGGTTCCCATCTCCCACCCCTGCAGCTCAGGAGCCCCTCAGGTGAGCCCAGACCAGGAATCCGAGGCATGTGAAGAGGGTTATTAATAGCACTGGAGTGTTGAGGAGAGGAGCCAGCAGGCTCTGAGTGGGCACACCCCTCCCACCCAGCCTGCTATCCACACAGCAACCCTCTCCAATAGAGGACACTTCACCCCTGCGGTCTCCACCTCCTCCCCTGTGCCTGGGGAGAGGAGGGTGGACTGGCAGCTCTCAGCCCAGGAGTGGGGAGACGGAGAGCAGGAGTTGGGCGTGGGGAAGGAAAAACCCCACCGAAGGCCCACACCCCACCCAGGCCGGGTGAGGGGCCTGAATAGGAGGTCCTGAATGGAGGGACTGTTACAACGCCCCAGGAGGTTGCCACCGCCAGGGAGGGGACAGGAAGACTCCGCCCTGGCCCTTCCTCCTCCCAGAGGCCAGGCCTTGTCCTACAAGGAGGTTTTCCAGGACTTAACCCCGCGTTGGTCGGAGGCTAGAGAGGGTCAGATTCACTCCTAATCACTGCCTCCCCAGTGCCCAGCGCTGGCCTGGCACAAAGGAGCTCAGGCTGCAGGCCCAGACCCGTCACCAGGCAGGCCTCCCCAGCACCTCCTTTGTGCCCCACCAGCTTAGGGCCCTGGGGACCCAGAGTTAAGAGACACCTGGTCTCTGCTCTCAAGGGGTCCCTGCTCTCAAGGGAGTGTGGAGAACAGGGCAGCTGAGACGCTACAGCACGTAAAGATAAGTGGTGGCAGCGGCAGGCTGAGGCCACTGCACAGGGAGAGGCACCCGCAGCCGGGGACCTGCCCTGGGAGCTGGCCTGGGACCCCTCCTGACTGGCACCCCCAGAACAGGGCCTCTTCCATGTCAAGTTCCATGCTAAGCAAGTGGTATGGGTTAGCTCACTTAAGTCTCTCAACAACCATTAGTACAAAAAAACTCCCTAGTCATTTCAAAGAGGCGAAGACTGAGGCAACAGGACATTAGGAGACTCACCCACCATCACTGCCTGGGAAACAGACACCGGTGGCCCAAGGCCGCGCCCCTGCCCAGAGTCCGCCCCAGCCGCAGATGCTTTCTTTTTATCTTTTTTTGGGGGGAGAGGTTTTTACTATAGGGCACCCCGCCGCAATCCCTTCTCACACACTTGCCCAGCGTGAGTTTAAGCCACCGGGTCTGGGACTCAAACCACGGTGGATCCATGGGAGTCCAGCGACGCTATAGCCATTACACCAACTGCTGGTCCTAGCCCCAGCTGCTTTCTCAAGCGTCTCCCCATTCTCAGGGTCTCCGGGAGGCGGAGCCAAGACCTTCCTGGGCAGCTTCTGGGCTGTCCTTCTGAGAAGTGGCCACTGTGTGTGACAGGCCCGGAGCAGGGCTGGCTGAAGAAAGGGGCAGAGCAGCCCGACTGGCCCTGAGGGCGCCGGCTCCGCCTTGGCCACAGCCCTGGCCCGGGAGCCCAGAGCCGGGGAGCCCCACCCGCCCGGTGCACCCGTCTATCCCGAGTCCCCCTCCTCAGGTTCAGGCCCGGTCCTCACGGCCCCTCCCCAGCAAGCTTCAGCCACGTGGACCGGGGCTGGGCCAGGGTGAGCCAGGGGCCTGGACCGCCAGGATAGACCAGACGCGCCGGATGTGGGGGAGTCCAGAGGGTAGAGGGTGGGCAGGGTAGCCAAGGTGCGACCCCATCCCGCAGCTCAATCAGGGAAGTGGGTTGAGGGATCCCACCCGGATGGGCTCCGAGGGGCTGTGGTAAGGAAGGGAGTCCGAGTCCCCTCGAGAAGAGTAAGGGGTGATCAGAAGACGCAGGGAGGGGCGCCCCGACTTGGCGAGAACAAGCTCGGACGCGGGACGCGGTCCCCAGAAGCTCCCGTCCCGCCCCAGGCCTGACCCCGGGGACCCTCCTGGGCGCTGACTGCGGGCTGGGGTGGGGGCGTGGCCCGCGGGCCCCCGGCAGGACTCCGGGCGCGCGCTGCGATCCTCACCTGCGATGTGCTGGCGCCGGGCGTCGTCCAGGTGCGTGGACAGCACGTCGCCCATGGCGAGGAGGAGCCGCGGCCGAG